TAATACATGTAAATGATATCGTTAAAGTGAACCCATCCATACATCTTACATTGTATGCGGACAATACGTCTATACTTATTTCCAAACAATCTAATTCAGTGGTCGCCAACCTCTTCAATGTGTTGAGCTAGTGATTCCTCCGAGAGATGACTATTTATAGGTCGTTCGAGTACTTTCACTTATCCCCGCTTTCCATTTTCCGCTTCACTGGTTCCGTGGGAGATGACCGTTTTGGCGAGAGTTGGCCATTTTTCGCTTGATGATGGGTTTCCATATGTTGCGTATTTCTACGCTGGCNATCAGAAATCATTTCCGCTAGTTCTTTGTCTCTCCCCTGAAGCTGCAAATTAAGTTCGTTTAATTTCTCTGTAATGTCCACGAGAAAACCAAAATCTCTAAGCCAGATTGAATTTTCTAGTTCCGGCAGTCTTTTTATTAAAAGAAATCAGCCTATTTTACAAGTTTATACAAGGTTAAAGTTAAGATATATATTTTTGTTATAATAGATGTATCATTCTATTTTAATGATGATGAGCGTGTTCGTGTTCAACTTCCGTTTCTAGTTATTTTTATACACGGCGGAACGTACAAAATGGATAGTGATATTTTTATTTTGAAAAGTATGAAGTAACATATTTATAGTAGATAGGTATATGCAAAAATAAGGAAATACTTTATAGCGGTCAAAGAAATGGAAAAAATGTTTTTAAATCACTTGGTAATGAAAATACAAAATAGCTTAAAACGACGGGAACAATGAATTAGTTGTAATAATAACTTTCAAAGAAACCTCGCTATCTACTATCTATTCGAGCTAGATATGAATCTGAAAATAGTGTTTTTGGAAGAGTCGAAAAATTCTAAGACCAGCCGTATGCGACTTCTGGAGGTCTGCGTGTCCAAAAAAACTGTTTTCGGACGTGTTGCGTAAACTATTTTTTCGGCAACTATAAGAAATCAATAAAATACATTTCTTTATTATATTTCTTTGTAGAACAAAATTTCAAACATTTTACTTCCTTGGGAAAGAAAAGTCTTGGCTTTTTACTACTCCATCTTGATACAATAGATGTGGGAATCTCCCAAAGAAAGAAAGGAAGCAAACAATTTAAAAAAATAACTATACAAATTTGTGCACTTTTGTCAACGTAACTAACACAATTCGATTAGTTTCTTCAGCATTAATATTGCCTGATCCTGATTGGCAAATAGTCTATAAGTGAGAAAGAGATCGAAGTGCTTGAAAAGATGGTAGTCGGTTGACGAGAGGTCTGGGGAGTATGGTGGCTGAAGCAGAACTTCAACGCTTAATTAGTTTAATTTTCGGTGATGGTTTGGCCCACTAACCATTATGTTTTTTGGTACGTTTTCCACTGTGGGAAGTACATGGTTTTCCTGAAGTCTCCTATTGTCGTAGAGAGTCCACTTTTCATCACACGTGAGGATCCGATGCAAAAAAGATCGTTTTGGTTGCGCAGAAGCAAAGAACAGACCTCGAAACGTGTCGATCGTTCAAATCGTGAGGCACCATTTTTTCAGTCTTCATGACCTTTCCTAAACATTTTGAACCATCAAAAACCACATTGGAGCTAACATCCAGTTCTTCCGCGCAGCATTTGCGAAGGGTCAGGCGACCATTTCGGGGCTTATCTTCGAAGCTAAAAACCTCCGGAACGAAATTTAGTCGGCTATGCTAATGCAGATATTCACAAATTTTGATGGTTCTTTAGTAATACATGTTGGCTTTCTATTTTGTCCCCCTCAGATATAATACACTTGTACCAGCATTTCTTCCAATACTTGAAGCAGGTCTAAAATACACTTTTTGGTATGTCCTTGAGATCTCTCAGCGGTTTTTATCTCCTCAATCGTCGCTAAACGCCCTTCTTTCATGGGTATTTTCGATCTTGGGAACAGAATAGAGTCGCAGGAGCCAAAATCTGAAAAATACGGTGGCTGTGGCATGATTACGATGGCTGAAGTATGATTACGGTGGCTGACTCATGATTACGGTATTGTTTTTCGCCAAAAAATTATGAACAAGCAATGACGAGGGAGCAGATGCAATATCGTGATGCAAAAGCCATTATTTTTTTCCCACAATACTGGACGTTTTCTTCGTATTGCTTCTCGCAAACGCCGCATAACTTCAAGATGATACTCCTTATTGACAGTACGATCATGTGGCGAAAACTTCTGATGCGCTACCCCACAGCAATGAAAAAAAAAAACAGTGAAAAAATCCTAGACATTTGATCGAACTTGGCGTTCTTTTCTGGTCTTGGTTCTCCCGGCTTCTTGTATTGAATGTCGAAACAAGTGTTGCGTTAAACTGTTTAGTAAAAATCTCATTTTCTTTCAATACGTTATGGATTTTCATCATGTAACGGCAGTAGATGAACAAACCTGGCCCCAGCACACTTCAAGGTCATGCATCGATGACGTCACACGTTTCTATCTTCCACTCACTGAAGTTTCTCTCTGAAACACTTACCAGGGATGCACGATCTTGAAGCGTGTTCGGACCAAGCTTGTTCATCTACGATCGGCCAATTCCATCATAAAAGTCATAACTGGTAACGAATCATAGATGTATAGTCATGACATCAAAACCAAGGACCAATTGTCCCAGTGGAAGAGGCCAGGAGAGCCATTGACAAAATGGTAACCCCAACTTCGATCAAATGTCCAGGTTTTTCTCACAATAAGGAATATTATCTTGAAGTTATGCGCCGCTTGATAGAAGCAATACAAAAATAAAACAGCCGGATTGTGAAAAACAAATCATGGCTTTTGCATCACCACATTTCATCTGCTCACTCATCACTGCTTGTTCGTAATTTTTTGGCGAAAAACAACATCGTAATCAAGCCTCAGCCACCGTATATTTCAGATTTGGACTCCTGCGACTCTTTTCTGTTCCCAAGATCGAAGAGACCCATGAACACCAGTTATGACTCTCATAAGCAAATCTGGATTGCGTTGATGTCATTCAGCAATTCCTGAGCGTTGCTCATGCGACGTTTTTAGTCAAAATTCAGCAAGTTTGGAACAAATTTCGCTGTCAAACGCTTCACACACAAAATTTACAAAAAAAAAAAAAAATGCGTGGCATGAACCATTACTATTTTCTTCACTTTCTCTACATTTTCATCGGTTGTTAATGTGCTGAAGCGTCTAGGGCAAGCATCGTTTCTCACATTTTCTCGACCTTCTATACGAAAGCTTGTACCACTCATAAACAATTTTCTTAATTTTCTCACTCAGAGTACAATCATCGTTTGCCACTGACAATACTTCAAGTGTTTTCAAGCACTCATTTCTTATTTTACACAAAATTTCATTCAAAGTTCTTTGATCCATTTTATTTTGATGGCAGAAAATCGACGAACACGCAAAACACCAACAAACTAAACATCTAAAACTGTGAAAGTATGTTAGAAATCAGTGTACCAACATAAAAAAATCGCTAATCGAATGTACGCAACCCGGGAAGTTTGAACATTTACCTTATTTTTCGAACAATCCACGTAGGCTTCTTCACCAACTGAATCCAATCCAAACTATAAACCTATGAGATTGGCTGCTTCAGCAAATTTTGTATCACTTTTCAGATGATGACTTATTGAGTAATCACGCAATGAGAGAAGTTCCAGTACAGGGGTAGATCCTTGTAGCACACCAACTGCATCCCTTTGCCCCATCTTGATTTGAACCACTCATTGAGAACAGCTGAAAGTTTACTGCAAATTTTTCTGGTACAAAGCCATGTTGAGCTTTATGGAAATGCTGCGAGTTCTTTTCTGAAGACTTCCTCCGCATACTTACAGGAATAGCTCTCAAAGCTGATATATAATAACACAACACAACAAAGTTTTTGTTTCCGGGTTGAAATTAGATGATTTTAATGTATTTCCACGTGTTAAAACCGAAAG